TCGCTGTGCCACTTACCCAACTGACACGAAAAGGAGTTGCATTTGAATGGTCAGAGGAACAGGAATCCGCTTTCCAAGAATTAAAAACAAGATTGACAACAGCACCAGTTCTGGCTTTGCCATCTGGTACCGAAGGATACGTAGTTTACAGTGATGCTTCGCACAAGGGGCTTGGTTGTGTGCTAATGCAAAATGGAAGGGTTATTGCCTATGCTTCTCGGCAACTGAAACCCCACGAGAAGAATTACCCCACACATGATCTCGAATTAGCGGCGGTAGTTTTTGCTTTGAAAATATGGCGACACTATCTTTATGGTACAACTTGCGAAGTTTACACTGATCATAAAAGTCTCAAGTATCTGTTTACCTAGAAAGAGTTGAACATGCGGCAACGGCGATGGCTTGAGTTGATTAAGGATTATGACTTGCAGATCTAATATCATCCTAGTAAAGCTAACATGGTGGCAGATGTACTTAGTCGGAAGAATATGGGGGACTTGGCAAATTTGTTGGTAGAAAGAAAAGAGTTGAGGATCGAACTGAATAAGATGAATATGGACCTAGTAGTACGTGAACAGGAGGCCATACTGGCAGTAGTAGGAGCTCAACCCACCTTGCTGGAAGAGATTAAGTTACATCAATTGGAAGATGAGACTTTGAGGAAAATCTATGAAGAGTTGGAAGTAAAACCAAAATCGGGGTTCAGTTATGTAAACTCGGTATTAAAGTTTCAAAGTCGAATATGTGTTCCCAATATGTTGGAGCTTAAACGGAAATTGCTAGAGGAAGCACATGCCTCGCGATTATCAATACACCCGGGAAGTACTAAAATGTACCGAGATTTGAAACCGAATTTTTGGTGGCCAAATATGAAAAAGGAGATCGCGGAGTTTGTTTCTAAGTGTTTACAATGTCAGCAAGTAAAGGCGGAACATCAAAGACCAGCCGGGTTATTACAACCCCTTCCAATCCCGGAATGGAAGTGGGAGCATTTGGCCATGGACTTCGTTGTGGGATTACCGAGGACTCCTCGAGGAATGAATTCGATTTGGGTCATTGTGGACCGATTAACCAAGTCTGCTCACTTCTTGCCTGTAAAGACTCAATATAATGCGGATAAGTTGGCAGTATTGTATGTAAATGAAATTGTAAGGCTTCATGGTATTCCGGTGTCAATTGTGTCAGATAGGGACCCCAAATTTGTTTCAAGATTTTGGCGAAGTTTACAAGAAGCTATGGGTACCGAACTTACATTCAGCACCGCTTTTCATCCTCAAACGGACGGTCAATCCGAGAGAACCATACAAACTTTAGAAGATATGCTTCGACTGTGTGTATTGGATTTTCAAGGAAGCTGGGAGACCCATTTACCGTTGATAGAGTTCGCCTACAATAATAGTTACCATTCGAGCATTGAGATGGCACCTTATGAAGCTCTGTATGGAAGACCGTGTCGTTCCCCTATATGTTGGGCTGAAGTCGGGGATAGGGCATTGTTGGGCCCTGAAATTGTGCAATTAACAACTGAAAAGGTTAAAATTATCCGGGAGAGGTTCAGAAGAGCTATGCAGATAACAGACGAAGGGATTTGGAATTTGAAGTGGGTAATTACGTGTTCATGAAAGTCACCCCGTTAAAGGGACATCCGAGGTTTGGGAAGAAGGGTAAATTAACGCCCCGGTATGTTGGCCCTTTCCAAATTCTAGAAAGAGTGGGTTTAGTAGCTTACCGAGTGGCTCTTCCGCCGAGTATGAGTCAAATACATAATGTGTTTCATGTTTCTATGCTTCGGGGATACCTATCAGATCCATCTCATGTTATAGACCATCACCAACTCATGCTAGATGATAAGTTAAGCTATGAGGAAAGACCACTTCGAATTTTGGAGCGACAAGTAAAGCAATTGCGCAACCGGGAAATTTCAATGGTAAAGGTGGAGTGGCAAGAACATTATGGCACTGAAGCTACTTGGGAAAAAGAGGAGGATATGCAGCAACAGTATCCATATCTGTTCCCATTTTGAGGTAAAAGCAAGTTTGGGGGACCAAACTTTTTAAGGGGGGGAGAGTGTAACAACCCGACCCTCATATATGCTTGTGATGTATGTCGTCCTTTATTCTGTGCTATTAAGTGACTAAGGTGAAGCTGTATAAGAGAATGAGGTCAAGTAGCTATGTTGTAATGCTTGGTAGAATGAATCGTATCTGTTAGGAAAGAAATGTATCTGTTACTATTCGAACGATAAAGTAGAAATTGAGGGCCTTAGCGGATTAATAAGTCAAAACTGATCACATATTTGGAACCAGCATAATTTTTAGGTAATATTAAGCACTTCTGTGAAATTTCAATTTTCGGATGTGTAAACGATTGATTTTTGTCTCATTCTCTTTTCATGGAAATATAAGAGTGTTCTTGGTCATTTGATAAGTTAAGGAAACATAACACTAAGCTTGGGAGTTGAAGAGGTAGAGAGAAAAGGTTCTCAAGAAGGGTGAGATTGGGCTTAAGGTATGTAATTGTTTGTTTAATTTTCATCTACAACCCCTCCTGTTGTAATTTATGTGAAGATGTTTCTATAATCTTGACCCTAAGAGTTGAAGCTGTAGTGATGTGAGTATGAGAAGTAAATTAGCAAAATGATCTTACCTTGCATGTGTTGATTCAATTTGAAGTATCTAAGAGAAACTTTACTCTATTTCTTCAATTGGCTTGTTTGAATTTAAGTATGTGGCATGGTTCTAAGTTTATGAGTTGAGATATGAGAACAAGTAGAAATTATGTGACTTGGAGTGAATTTGAGTTGTGGATTCATGATTGATTCTTACTCAAATGAAATGTGTAATTTGATCCTTGTTCACATGTAATTGCATGCTTTGAACTTGTATATTGATAATTGAAAGTTAGATTTTTGAGGCCTAAACATGTTAATAAGAAGAAGAAAATTGTGCAAAAATTTCGGACCTTTTGTGCAGAATCGCCGCACGTGCGGGGCCTAAGGCCGCACGTGCGGGAACCTCAGCCGCACGTGCGGGAGTCACTGCCGCACGTGCGGGAAAATGGCAAATTGTTGGGCTTCAACACTGCAAAAACCGCACGTGCGGGGCCTCAATGCCGCACGTGCGGGAGGTGTGCCGCACGTGCGGGGGATCCTAGCCGCACGTGCGGCCCAGGGCAGAAAAGTTGGGATGCTCCGTTTTGCGTGTTGGGTCCTCTAATGTGGTCAAAACCTACAGTTTATATTGTTTAAATATTTGTTAATTTAATCAAAGTAAGTGAACCGAATGTTGGTTTAACAAGAAAAAGGGGCTAATGTAATCTTTTATATGTTCATGTGTGTAGGAAACACCTCAAAAGGAAGTGCACCGCCACAACACAGTGAGTAATAGTGCTTCAATGTATCCCTACTCTGTAATTATAATTAATGACGTTGTGATCTTGTAGAAAGTAGCATCGCATGATATACTGACGTTATATCTTGACGTTATGAATGTCCCTATTAAACTTGTGTTGGCATGAAATGATTGGTATGAAATGACATATCTGCTATAGATAATTTGATACGAAATTGTGAAAACATTGAAAAGGTTGTGAAGTTGTACGCATCCTATATGAAAGTTGTGACTACCGAAATGTATCAAGGCAATATGAATTTGTGAACCAATGTGGCTTAGTGCCATTTGTGACTCAATGTGGCCTAGAGCCAACTGTGAATTAATGTGGCTAAGAATCCTAATGTGAAACTACGTGACCAATGGTCAATTGTGAATTGTGAACTAATGAGGCCAAGGGCCATTTGTGAATAAAGAAATTATGAGGCCAAGGGCCGATGTGTGAAATATGAATGTCCTTATTGTGAGCTTGTGGACTGAACAGAACCAAAGGTTTATGTGAGGAATTGTAAATTGTGAACCCAAGAACTTTTCCTGAACGTGTAAAGTTCTTAGGCCAGGGGCCACATTATGACAATTGTAAATCGATTATGTTGTCCCTACAAGCCGTACAGAGACAGACTAATGGCATGATTACAGCAGTAAATATATTTACTAGCATATTAGTACTATTATTCACTGAGCTTGGCTCACCCTATGTTATGTCTGTTTCTGTAGGTAATCAACCAGGAGGTCGATCTTAGCTCGACGTCGTCATACTTTTGTCAGCCTAGGCACAGCCAAGCTTGGGGTCGGGACCCTACTTTTGTGAAGTTGTTAGATGATGACTCACACTTTTGTTATTGGCTTAAGTTGATATGCACTTAATGATTTTGTTATACCCCATCTCGGGGTTAGTTCTGTATATGCCTGTAAATAACTAACT